GGGGAGGGGCCGAGCGGGCGGAGGGCACTGGCGCTTGTTCCGAGAGAGGAAGCTGGGAAGCTGGGTGGTCTCTTCCGAGGGGCCGATGATGTCCTGGCCGCCGAGAGAGCCAGGCCGGACAAAAGCCGCGTCCACCCAGGACGCCGAGCCGTGGCCCCGCGGAGGCGGCCTGGCTCACTCCGGATGCAGCCTCCGGCTCGGACGGGACTGGGGACCACTGCACCCCCGCTTCCCCCTCCCCCCTCCTCCAGCCTTAAACCCAGGCCTCCCCTTGTCGTGAGCCAGTTTTGCTCTAAAGGTGTCAAGAGTCTTCCTGAATGCCAGGAATGATGCGGAGAAAGATAGATATGTAAACATATACATCATTCCTGGCAATCAGGAAGATTCATATATAATATAGGTGTACATGTGTGTGTGTGTGTCCATGTAGGCACCTATAGGGCACATGGTTTTGTTTCCTTCTCACTACACCTCCTAAAACAGGTGTGACTACCTCCACTTTGGGTGAGTAAGTGACAGGTGAACCTATCACCTCCACGCTTAGTTGGCTTAGTTGACCCGGTGACTTTTAATCCAGAACCCTTTGGTAACATCCACTCTAATAAATGGTAGCCAGATGTGAAAGCTGGTTTGGAGGTAGTGGGCTTGCTCCAACTCCCCTTGAACCTGCAGTGTACCTGTAGGTTTGGATTTAAGCACAATGAAGTCCAAGGGTTTTAGGCTTCAGGAAGCATGGAGCCTTTTTGTTTGTTTGGTTTTGGTTGTGGGGCTTGAGCTCAGGGCTTGATTTCTGTCTCTGGGCTTTTCCCCTCAGGGCTTGCACTCTACCACTTTAAGCCACAGCTCCACTTCCGGTTTTGTGGTGGTTAATTAGACATAAGAGGCTCACAGACATTCCTGCCCAGGCTGATTTAGAACCTAGAATCTCAGATCTCAGCCTCCTGAGCTGAGGATTACAGTGAGCCACGGAGGCCTTCCCCTTCCTTTTTATCTAGTAATACTGGTTTTCTAGCAGATGAGCTGTCTTTCCTAAGTTTGTTTTCTACTTGTTTGCCTAGTAGCGCCTCACAGGTTTAAAGGGGAGGCTGTCTTTGTGGGCCCTGTGGTGCCAATTTTGTGGCTGGCAGAATCTTTTGCAGCGGAGTTCTCCCCGGGACACATCAGTTCATTGCATTGCAGTGAGCTGAATCATGAGTGGGCTTTATTTCCTGTTCTGACAACTTTGTCTCTAAGCTCCTGGCTGTTTACTTTCAGGATTTTTTTTTTTTTTTTTAATGATCCCTTGAGCTTACAGAGTGTGGGGGGGACCTACAAAAACCCAAGTTGTTGTCTGAAACCATCTCCTAGTAAATTCATGGCTCTCTTTGAAGTGACTGTGTCCGCGTCATTTCTGATGGAAAACTGTATGATTTTTTTATTTAGTTTTCTTCAAGAAGGGGCTACTGTAGGAATGACTCAGAGTCACAGAGCTGGGAGACCCTGGAAAGAAATAGGAGAATGCCTCATTCCTAACTATTGCTGGCGGGAAGCCATCATCTTTAAATAGAACAATGTGAAAATAAAAATATGGACAATTTTCTAAAAAGTGTCCCAAATGAAATAAATGTGTCTGTCATTGGAAAACAATATATGAGTGCCAAAATTTTCAGGACTGTAATGGATTACAGAAAATATTTTCTGTTTTAGTAGGAGTGAGTTGGGACTAAAAAGTGGGAGAAGGAAAGGAGGAAATAAGGAAATGGGAGAAAGGAAAAACAGATGTGCACCTTAAAATACTTCAAGCACAGATAGCTGAAATAGTGTTTAATGTATTTAAGGCAGTTCTGTGAAGGCTTAAAGGCAATTGAACTTGTAAACTGTGGCTAAAAGATTTCCAAACACAAAATGGGTGATAATGTCCCCAGAATAATAGGAAATGTCAGATCTAGGCTTTTAAAAACATACTTTCTCCTGCGGACACAAATTCAAAATTGGAACATTTTTATGAAGCCTGCCCCAGATTCACAAAAATACAGAATGTGTAATGAGTATTTTGCATACTTAACACTTTTCTTGGTTACTTAACTGTTTACTATGGCACTGTGTGTAACTTGCCTGAAATTCATAACTAACTGAGTGTCCTGTATTCTATTTGATAACCCTACTTTGAGGCGTAGAACAACTATTTCAAAATTGAGATAGCAGTTTTGAGGGCCAGGCGGACCTGACACTATGAGACCTTGCAGGTTTCTGCTGTGGCTGGAAAACGCTAAGTAACCGAATAGGAAGAAGAGATCCATCCAAAGGATAACTGAAAGAGGGAAGGAGAGAAGAAAGGAAAGAAAATGCCTAGGTAAACAGAGTTCCTTTGAAAAGACTACTGCAGAAGCTGGGTGGCCAGAGATGTGCAATGAGAGATTCGAGTTATTTTAACTTGTTTGATGGATTTCAAAGATGAATTCCTCTCTGCCATGTGTACCTTGGAATCCAAGAGAGGTCTCCAGAGGCATCCCAGAGGAACTCTGCAGCAATGTGACTAGCACGAACTCCAGGCTCCTCCTGGTGGCTGCTGTGAGTATCGCTTCTCCAGGCTCCCTTTCTCATCCTAGAGATTTCTCAACTCCACCATCTGTCCTAGGACATTCATTACCCATTCCTCTCCTTGCCTCTTCCTTCCTTCTTGCTCTGCATCTGCTTATTCATTCGGAGCCTGCCCTAGACTTGACACCTCTCAACTGCTCTGGCCCCAGGAAGAGGCCACACAGAGCTGGCCATTGTTGTTGTAGGCCTAGGACCACCCGGGTGGGCACAAGTAGGGGAAGCGCTACCAGCGTGAAGGCCAGATGACTGACAGCAGCCTCGGGGTCAAGTGCCCGGCAGGGTGGCCCGGAAAGAGGCCCTGTGCTTTGGACCTCAGCAGGATGGTCCTCAGCGGGAACCCAGCCTGCTTCCTTTATTCTCATGCAAACAAGGGCACTAAAATTTCTGTTTTGAAGGTGGTGTGTATGAATACACGCATAGAAAAAAGGATTATGCTGGTAAAATGAGATTTTTTTTTAGCTTGAGAAAGGCAAATCCTGTTGTGTTAGTTTTGCGGAGGGAAGGACACTTATTTAGAATCATTAACAATGTGCAGCTGAATATTTTCCACGTATAGGCACACTCAGCCTGTCTCCCCACCCCCCTTCCTCCATCATTCTGCTGCTAACACTGAGAAGCCCTGTCTCTTATTTTTATTTATTTATGTATTTATTGGTCGGTCGTGGGGCTTTGAACTCTGGGCCTGAGCACTGTCCCTCTGTTCTTCAGCTCAAGGCTAGCACTCTACCACCTGAGCCACAGTGCCACTCTTGGTTTTCTGGTGGTTTATTGGAGATGAGTCTCCTGGTCCTTCCTGCCCAGGCTGGCTTTGATCTGTGATCCTCAGATCTCAACTTCCTAAGTAGCTAGGATTACAGGCATGAGCCACTGGTGACTGGCAAGTTCTGTCTCTTGAGCACAGTGACCACTTCATGGTCTTTCCCAGGCCCAACAGCTTCTAAAGCTCCGACTCAAAACCTAGCTTAGGCTAGGCACCGGTAATCCATGTTTGTAATCCTGGCTACTCAGGATGCTGAGATCTGAGGATCATGGTTCAAAGCCAGCCTGGGCAGGAAAGCTCATGAGACTCTTCTCTCCAATAAAGTATTCAGAAAAAGCCAAAAGTAGAGCTGTGGCTCAAGTGGTAGAGCTTTAGCCTTGAGTAAGAGAAGCTCAGGGACAGTGCCTAGGCCCTGAGTTGAAGCCCCAGGACTGGCAAGATGCCAACCAAACAACAACAACAACAAAACAGCTTACACTACAGAAGGGAAGGAAGCTGGTGTAAAGTGCCCTGATCTTTGTGCAGCTTCCCAGAAAACTTCCCTGTTTCCAGAATGTTCCATAGTCATGAAGATATTGATCCACTCGGGGTGACACTGAGCCGATCGGCTCAGCTGGAACCAATCACCTTGTGTTCTCATATTGGTTAAGTAAATATCTTGTATGCTTAGGAAAAATTAAGATCAAATAAAGTGATTTGTAGAATTTCTTTTTAAATCATAAGATCCCTTGGGAAATTGGTATAAATGAAGAGAAAGGCAAATGAATACAATTTTCATTATAATTTTGAGGTCTATCAACCATTGAAATCTCCAGATGGATGGCCTAGAGACCCATGGCCTACTTAAAAAGCCTTTCCTCTAGTTGACTGTCCTGCTAGATAGAGGCTCAACTTTAGTCTAGAGAGTTCATGTTGTCTCCTAATTCTTTATTAAAACATATGATGGAGCTGGGTGCTGATGGTTTATATCTGTAACCCTAGCTACTCAGGAGCTGAGATCCGAGGATTGGAGTTCAAAGCCAGCCTGGGCAGGAAAGTGACAGGCATGCACTACTGCATGTAGCTACCATCTGAGGAAAAAGTCTCAAACTTTTCTGGCTGGGCTGGCCTTGAACTGGTACCTTCCTGAGCTTAGTCTCCCAAGTTAGGAGGATGACAGGCAGCAGCCACCATTGCTTGGACAGTTGTTCTTAATAAGTAGAGCACTCACTAGAAAGATGGCTATTTCTGAATGATGCTGAGATCTTACTCGGTTCTTTCCATAAGTGATCATCTAAATTGCAAAGATGAATCTAGCTCTTTTGAGGGTTAGCCAGGAAATTACTGTTTTTCAAAGTACCCCATGGTGGCATTATACTTCATGAATCCCAACAATAATGATTGCATATATTTGAGAAATTGCAAACTATTACTACCAAGAACTTCCTTACCTCCCCATCTTCACCTCCAGTCTGAGGAGCTGAGCAAGAGACTATGTCCTTACTTATTTCCTTGGGGCTGAGTCCCAATGCTAGTTCTGCCAAGATTTTACTACACTGCATGGCATTCTTTCCCAGGACTCCCTGAGTGCATTGCAATACTTCCAAGAATGGACAATTGATTTTCCTTCAGGGGAAACAATAACAACAGCATGCAAAGGCATTAATGTAAAGCTATTTTTTTCTTTATTGAAAATACACCTACAATGTCATGCTGGCCAGTCTGCATTGGCGATGAGAATAGGAAGAGTCCAGATGGACTGGTAAAAGGATTGCCCTAGAGGATCTGCTTTTGTAAGAAATGGTTAGTATAAAAACACATCACAGTGTCCAAAAGCATTAATTTGACATGATTAGTTTGCACTCTACTTTGTGTCATCAGATGACAGCATGTACATTAACTTTTGCAGTATATTTCCCAAATGGAGCCTTGACATTAAATGGTTACTCCACCACAGCCTAAGTTAACCTTGATGCACACATAATGTTCAGGATCTATATATAAAAAAAAATCCTCATTTTTATATCAGAAGATATACATCTAGATGTTCAGTGTGTTAGCATAATTAAGTTGATTCTTAACCATTAGCCGGTATTTTCGGATGACTCTCATTAAGTGCCTTTAATTGGATATTTCAGGGTGGGGGGGGGTTGATAAAAATGAATCTCCTTGAAATCTGGAAGCTGCCTTGCCTGAACAAATGCCCCTGTTCTCTTCCCTTGTAACCTCATTGACATTATCTTCATAGTGGTTCATTTTCTCCCATTTTTCTTTGGGACACAAACAAAACTAAAGCAAACTGCACTGTAGCCTCAAGTTTTGAATGATTTGGTAAGTGGAATTCCCACACAAAGAAGTATGTTGTTTCCCTCATTCCAAGGACTTCTGATTAAAGTAAAAAAAAAAAAGTTCAGATAAAAGACCACCCACCCACTTCATGAACTCACAGGAGAGAGGGGGGTGGGGAGGTCATTTATTTAACTTCAAAATATGTAAGAAGTGAACGTCTATCTTGTATGTACACTTCTTTGGAGGAATGATTTGGAACTGAACAGAAAAAAAATGTTTCCAGGAACAAAAAGATTTTTTTTTCTGTCTTATCCTTTCATAAAGAATAAAGACCTTTGCTCTTGGTGCCTAAAATCTTCCCTTTACAACCGTCAACCATACTCTTCTTTTTGTGCCCCCCTTCCTTTTCTTTAGTCTTCTGTAGTAAGGACTTCAGCACATTTGCTAGTTGCTAATCTTCTGTTTACTTCCTAAAAGTCTAATTGTCAATTGAGGAGTGGAAGGGGACGCTTCCCAGAGCAGCCCTTAGAGCAGGCAAGAAGAGAACTACGGCCCCTGGCGCAAGAACTGGGCAAAGAGTGTCATGAATGATCTGCTCTTGGAGTGGTCTCCTGCCTGGAGATGTGCATAACCGACACTTTGGACAGAGGACCAGTGTGCCACACACCCTGCCTCTGGACAGAAATGTTCACGACCATGAAGTGTCCTTTGAGAGCCCTGAGCTCCATGGAATGGTGGGTACTTTGCAGGGTACTGCACGGGGGAAACCCAGGGCAGCCTCTTTCTTGATGTCACCAGAAGTCTGGGCTAGAGGGACCAAAAAAGGTGTCTAGAGCATCAGTGAAGACACTGAGGCCTACAGATGAGATATGACTTGCCCAAGACTTTCCCACAGCTGTGCCAGGAGTGTATGGAGATTGTCCTGCTGCTGAGAAAGCAAGGTTATGATTACAGAAGTAAAAGGGAAAAAGACAACTCCATAACTCACGGTTATGGATCACCTTTTGAGACTAAGACCCAATTGTGTGTGTGCTGAAGGATTTTTTTCTTTTCATTTCAAAAGTTAATTTTTTAAAAAAATGGGCCTAGAATTTGTTTCCTTAACTTAGAAGGCAATTGTATTATAGGATCTCTTGCCAAATCAACTGGGTAAGATTTGATCAAGATTTGATCCTAGTACCTTAGTAGGTAAGATGAATACGAAATGATCTTTAACATGTCCAGTGTTTGGCTGCGGTAAAGTCCTCCCTTGTGTGTTGGATGAATCCTAGCAGAGTAGGGAGGAAGAAGGCAGACAGGGCTCTCTGGAGGAAGGAGCGGAACGAGACGCACACATTTTACAATGATTTCTTTTCCCCAACACCTGGTGCTCAAGGAAGCCTTTCTCCATGTCAGTTTACATCTTGGTTTCACTGTCAGTGGGTTTCTCAGGTTCGTTGTCCTGGGCAATCAGCTGATATGGTTTCTTCATCTCATTCTCTTCAATTACTGAGTTCCCCATTTCTGCATCTCGGTTCTTCAGTTCGTGTCTTGACAAGTGCTCTACAACCCCGGCTCCAAGGGAGTCACCCAGCACATTGGTAGTGGTTCGGAGGCGATCCCTGTGGGCAAGGGAGGGAGGGAGAAAATGGGAAGCTCCTTTAAATATCATGAGATGCTAGCTTCTACTGTGAACTAGCTGGAGAAGATTTTAGAAGCATCGCTTAAAATCCAGGGTAAGAATAGCCAGCAACTACATAGTTACACACTAGACATGTAATTCCCATCAGACTAGCTATTAAATGTTATGAGGACAGGTAGGTGGCTCAATTTTCAGTGATGAGGCTGAATGGAGCTAGAATCCCTACAGTGATGAATGACTCTTCCTTTTCTTCTTTTATTTTAAATTTCTCACTGGCTTCTCAGAAGGTGGAGACAGTAGCATGGATGTTTGGGGTCAGCCCAAGCAAAAAGTTAGTGAGACTCTATCTGAATAAAAACAAAAATAAAAGACAAAGGATGGGAGTGTGACTCACAGGAGCGCTGAGTTCAATCGCCAGTACAACCAAAAAAAGTTCCTAAAGTGTAGTTCAGAGATTTTTTTTAGGACCCCCGGAGGTCAAAATCCTTGTCATAATGTTAGGATATTATTTTCTCCTTCTTCTCTCATTTTTCTTAGGAAGTATAGGAGAGCTTTGCAAAGTCTACACAACATAGTTCGACTCTACCTGTCTAGCATTAAGATAGACATTATAGGGATTTACGTAATATAAGGTGGGGCCATTCTTTTCACTATGTTTTTGGTCTGGAAGTGATTATTTTTCACAGGGCCAGGATGAAGGGGTGCACAACAGTAAATTCAGGAGGTAGAGGCAGGAAGATCTAGTGTTTGAAGTCATCTTGGGCTATATAATGAGTTCTCAGCCATCCTCAGCTACAAAGTGAGATCCTGTCTCAAAAAACCATGTCAATCTAGCTCTGGGATAGGATGCTGGCTATGCACGAAGCCCAAGGTTTTATTTCCAGGACTGCAAAATCAATTACCCTTCCCCTGTCCTTGTGATGTTGGTACTAATGCACAATGAATTCATTATGACCTCTAAACAATGAGTTAAACATGGGCAAGCTTTTCTGAAGTGATAAATATCGATAGATATATAGCCCACATAGATTTAAAGCGCAAGCTTTTCTAAAGTGAGAAATCTCCATTGATGGATAGCATTTAGACTTAAATCATTTTTTGGACTTCAATGTTTTTAACATGTAAAAATAAAAATATTGAGAATGAATGCTTTCATTTTGTAAAAGTGCTGTCACTCACTGAGAGTTAAGAGCCGGGCAGTGAGTGGCGTGTCTGCACAGATGTTTATTTCCTTAACCCTCCCAGTACTTGCAGGGGGCGGGGGGGGGGGGGGGGGGAGACAGGGGGACAGGGGGACATAAACAAGACCATTTCACTGAAGTGGAAACGAAGGTGGATGAGCCGTCTAGACCAGGATGCAGGAGACTAGATGAGACTCCCTCTCTTGGGTTTCCTGCACATTCTTGGGCTCTCCATTAGTTCTTGTAGTCAGCATGAACGACTCCAGTACCCAATGTGCTCTTCTAAGCACTTGCACTGGGCATCTTTGAAGAGGGGAAACAAAAGGCATGTCTGCTGGAAGGGGGAAGGATGGGGGTCAGGAATGGCTCTATAGGATCAGACCGCAGGGACGTTTTCCAGAACCCTGAATCAATCCGCTGAACGATGCTCTGTCTCCGCTGTCTGCATGGCCGTCACCCCGTGGCGCTCAGACGGAAACATCTGAGAGTTACATCATTGGAAAGCGAGGCCTGACACGGCGCATGCGCCTGGAGGCTCTTTCCAGCCGCCACGGGGAGGATGTGTTGTGCAATTCAGGGAAGGCCTGCGTGATTAATGTTGGCTTTGCAGCCATCAGGTTTCCCAACTCCGAATGGCTTTATGGAGTGAGGAGTAGAGCAGCCACATGTGCCCTGGCAGGCTGGGGACAGGGTGACTGGCGCACAGGAGGAGGATGGAGCCACAGGTTTTCCTCCTCACCAGGTTCTTCTGGGAGATGCACCAGGCTGCGCGGCCCACCCGGGTGACAGACGGGGCTGCGACCTGAGCCAGAACACAGCGTGTACTCACAGGAACCAGTCGACTGCGATGATGAGTGTGATGTCGTCAGTGGGCAGGCCCACGGATGTCAGCACGATGACCATGGTGACAAGGCCCGCCTGAGGGATCCCAGCTGCCCCAATACTGGCAGCCGTGGCCGTGATACTGTTGAAAAACAAAACAACACAACATCGAAACCAGAAGACATTTGTACATATCCCCCTCAGTGGACGGCACCCTGCAGAGCATACACACATCAGCTCGTGATCCGCCCTGTTATCAGAACAGGATGTGCTTCAGAAAAGAGAAAAAATAAAATCTCCTAGCTCAAAATAATCTTTACTTTGGGGCTTACTATGTGTCATCTGATATGCTAAGCATGGCTTATCTCACTTCATCTTTACAACAGCCCTCTTGAAGTTGTTCCAACTGTTCAAACATTTGCAGTGAACCAAGTGGTGGGTGGCGATCTTGTTTTTCGTGTCCTGGAAAGTGTTTTGGAGGATCTAAAGTACAGTAGTTGAATGGGTAGAGTGTAGTGGTAGAGTGTTAACCTTGCATGTGTTGATGCCCTAGGTTCACTCTCCAGCATTGCCCAAAAATAAACACGAAACAACAAAAGTAAACAAAATCAACAAATACCCTTTTAGCCTTCCAAGTCAACTTGAACATTTAAAATTCAGTAGAGTTATAGTAACGGTTTTTTTTTCTTTGTGCCAGTACTGGAGCTTGAACTCAGGGTCTTGAACACTTGCTTAGCTTTTTTGTTCAAAACTGTTGCCTACCACTTAAGCCATACCTCCACTTCCAGCTTTTTGCTAGTTAATTGGAGATAAAGTTCTCACATCCCCTGACCCCCCACCCCAAACCTGCATCCTCAGATCTTAGTCTCCTAAGTAGCTAGGATTATAAGCATAAGTTTTTGTAACAATTTACTTCCAGTAACTCCCCTATGCCAGTGGAGGCTTGTAAAGAGCTTGAGTTTGTGTGATTATAGTGGACAGAAAATTTAGCCTATTAGTTATTTAAATTATTAAAGTAAATGGGGTATGGACAAAGTTCTGCACCATTATCATTCCTCTTTCCTTGATGTGGAGTCACTGTGCACCGTCATTTGCCAAGTGTAGTGCCTGAGAGTCTAGTTTGTTCAATATGAGAGAAGGCTAATGAGAGAATGTAAAAATGTTTTTTATAAATAACAGAGCCTTACCTAGAGCTGAAGTGGTATTGATAAAGTAATATGTCTGTGGCAGGAAGTGCTTGTGGTTCACTGTACGGTTCCCCTTCTCTGGTCATAGAATGATCATCCAGCCTATGGGTACCCAGGAAGTTTACTGCACTTCCTAACTTCCTTTTGGCAATTAGAGTGAATTATGGCCCAGGAGAAATAGTTGGAAGTGATCCACCAACTTGCAGCCTATGCTGCCTCCCTCTTCTTGCTGGCTGATCTTTGGAGGTGGGGTTGAGCCATCTGCACAAGGGCAACACCCAAACCACAGCACTGTTTCCTTAAACTATGGAGTGCCCCATTAGCCTTGTGGAGCAAAGCTGAAAGAGAAATGAATTCTGCCTGGTTTAGGTCACTATTATTTTTCATTCTGTCACATGCAGCTGAACCTTTTTTTCTAACTTAGCTTTTCAGGCTTGTCACTAAGAGAACAAACTGGGAGCACACAGCACATGTGATATAATTACACAAAAGACATGAGCATGTCCATCCATAGAAAAGGTTCCTGAAAATCAAACATGAACAATGATCACCAACGAAAGGTATGGAGTGCGATGGTGGCAAATAAGTGTTACTTTTACTTTATATACTTCTATGTTATTTGACTTTTGTTACCAATGCACAAGTGAAATACAAAAAGCTAATAAAGTATATAAATCTAAAAATAAATGATCCCCTCAACCCACCTTCTGTTCATGTGCAATATCCTACCTCAACAATTTCTTCACCCAGCCTTAATCATTCTCTCTTCTATTAAGATTGTGCTTAAGATACTAAGTAGAACTCTTTCCTTGTACCTGATGGTAATGATCTGTCCAAAGTTCAGTTCAAAGTTGTTAACTTGAGCGATGAAAATGGCAGCCAGTGCCTCATAGAGCGCTGTCCCATCCATGTTAATGGTGGCACCCACAGGGAGCACAAATCTGGTGATGCGTTTGTCAACACCATTATTTTCTTCCAGGCACTTGAAGGTGATGGGTAGGGTGGCAGAACTAAGAACAGGAAAACAGACGATGTCAGCTGAGTGTCCTCCTGGTAGTTCTGACGGTATCAGTGTTTGATCTCTTGTATAGATAGTTCTTTCTTCCCTGCATCCTAACTTACAGGGAACTAAGTCAGCCCTTGTCTAAAGGGCTAGAAACAGTGTGATCACTTGGCAGTTCTGCTTCTGGGTTTTGCCCAGACATCACTTGTGATTACTCCCACAGCAGACAGCCAGAGCCAGCTCACCCTGCCATTTCTCCCTCAGTCAGATGTCAACTGGGAGAGGAGGGAACGGTAAAGGACAGGAAAGAAGGGTGGTTGACTTCCACCTCCAAACAGAGTCTCAAATAGATAAGATGATCAGCATCAGAGGTGAAAAGGTCAATTCATTATTCCTGAAGTTGTAAACCCAGGACAAAATGCTTCTACTTGCTTCTTACCCAAAGAGCTCTGGTCACAAGGAATAAGTTCCACATCTACACACACACCTTGAAGAGGTCCCCAGCGCTGTGAAGAGTGCTTGTAGCAACCCTCCAATGAAAACCCAAGGGTTCTTCCGGGTTACCAGGAAGTAGAGGAGTGGCAGAACGATGACTGCATGAATGAGCAGGCCAATAATGACTGTCACCGTGTACATGGCAAGCTGTCCCCCAATCACGCCCATGTCCTCCATCTCAACAATTTTGCCTGCGATCAGGAAGAGGATGCCCAGAGGGGCATACCTATGGAGAAACAGCAAGTTGTCCCATGTGAACTACCAAGCAGTAAGAAACAACAAAACATGGTGTTTTATTTTGCTGAACTTTGACTTGGCCTTTCTAAGGAATTACATGATTTTCGATCTCCTTGAATCTGTCGTATTTCACTTAATAGGTTTGTATTCACTTGCATACCACACAATGTATTTACTTATGAGTTTATAAGCTAAATCTAGCTTGCATATATAAGAGAAAACATTCATCTTTGGTCTTTCTGGGCCTGACTTACCTTTACTTGACATAGCTTTTTTCCAGGTCTTTCCATTTCTTTCTTTACAAATGGTACAATATCATTCTTTCTAATGGATGAGTAAAATTCCGTGTGTGTGTGTGTGTGTGTGTGTGTGTGTGTGTGTGTATGTGTGTATGTCCTATTTTCTTCATCCATTTTGTCATTGAGGAGCATCTGGGCTGATTCCATACTTTGGCTATGATGAATAGAGCTGCAAAAAATATGATTGTTTTGGTGGCTTTACTATATCCTTGTTTGTAATCTTTTGGGTAAATTCTTAGGTGTGAATTGCTAGATTGTAGCAAATTTAAAATACCAAGAACTTGGTCCTGGAAAGCAGTGGGGTGGGGTCAAGAAGAAAGGGGTAGACAAAGAGGAGAATAGGGGAAAATGTAGTCAAGAGTCCCATGTATATCCTACAAAATTAAAAAGAGTGATGGAGGAAGTGGATGGGGAAGGGATGGATGAGAATGTTGAAAGGGGTAACACTGATCAAGATAAATTGTATTCATAAACTGTTTTGTTAAATGGAAACTCCTTTGTATAACTAATTAAAGGTAACAATAAAAAGAAAAACAGCAACTACAGAACAAAACAAAAAAATAGGGAACATGGTGGGAAAGAGTGGATTTCCAAACTTTCCAGTATGGGATATTATTACGACTTGTAGAAACTATACATTTCTTTCTTTTCTATTTTAAATGTAATTTTCCCCTGGATATTTCCCCTGGAATTGCTATAGAATATTTGTTTCCTTTTCTTTTATACTTGTGGGAGAAAAAGGGAAGTGTTAGGAGTTTTGGTACCCACCCCCATTTTCTTGGACAGTTTTCCTTTCCTGAGATGTCCCTTTCCACCTTGCTGCTGACCCTTGGCTAAGTACTGCAACTGTCACAATTCATCATAACACTATCCAGACTTTGGGAAGTATTTTCCACACACAGTTGGCTCCCCAAATGAAAGCGTGAACATAGAGGGCCATGTCAGTGGTTCAGATTTGCAGTCAGCTTTTCTTAATCCTAGGGCCACCTTCATTACTTCTGTCCATAGCTACATATCACTTACAATTTCATATTTTCTTTAAAGCACCTGTTTTACTGATGTAGATTTACTTTCAGAGAACATTTTATGCTATTGAGCAAACACGAAACTGGAACCATTCAATATAGATCATAAAATAAATTCACAGCAATTAAAGTTAATAACATCCAAGTATGTACTATTACAATCAGTTCCTAGGTGTTCTAATTAACTATGACAAGCCGTTATTGCCATTTGTGAGCTTTCCCTTGCAGACTGTAAGAATGAGAAACTGACCACAAATTGACTTGTACACACCCAAATAGCCCTGTTTGTTCAAAGGCCCTACTGCCTAGTTTTCGACTGCCTTTGTGTGAGGTGTGCAGTAAACTATAACCAAACACATCACCAAAAACAGAACAGCCAATCACTCAAAGAGAAAGGTCTGCTGGGAACAGCGGAGGACTTAATGTAACTTGAAAACTACAATGCTTCTTTTAAAAGTCCTTAGAATGTGGGCCAGGAAATCATAGAAGTACCTGTTTTCAAAAATGCAATAACTCAAAAGTTGAATGTGTAGGCGAATGTACAGCTAGCAATGTGACATGGGAGGTTCATTCAGTGCTCTTGAATGGGCTTCTTTCATAAAAGAGGTGAAAGGTGGAGGGATTTTAATAATATGAAGATAAATGTCCACTCTCAGCCCTGCCAGGATTTCAAAGGAGCCTTCCAAGTGGAGGCCCCTGTAGAGACTGATTTGTCTTTGTGCCCAAGTTCATATTCATCTTGTTCATAGTCCTAAAAAGTGGATTTCTCTAGGCTTTAGTGGCATTAGAGACAAAGGACATTTTTAATCATGTTGGTGAGTGGATGCTTTTCTCAGTAATTGATGCTTTTCTGCAGCAGGTGCCAAGGTAGGTCGTGGGTATTAAAAATAAAGGATAAAAGAGCAGTAACCCCCACATGAGGCATAAACCAAGCAAAGGGTTCTCTCCCTGCTGGGGAGACAACTTTTCAAGGCCAAGACTCTCCTTTGGACTAAGCCTTTTCCTTTGTCTCTTGCTCTGAACATTATTAAAGGAAGTTCCATTATAAATTGTGGCTTAGCATTCCATAATATTTCCCATGAAACCTCCATGAGTCCCTCTGTACATTGCAACAGAACTGCCATGAATAGTTCTTTCCTAGCATTCAAACTGAGACATATTTCCATTTTTCTGATGATCTTGGGCCTGTGGGTTTGCTTTCTTTTTCAGTGGGGAGAGATTCTCCTCTCACATTTTGTGAGACTCTTAGTCCTTCAGGTCTCGACCGCCACCTCCCCCGAAAAAGAAATCACCTGTAGGCCTTTCTTACCATTCAAGGCAGAGTTTAATTTTATGCCTTCTCCCCAGTAACCTGCTATTTCATTTTATTTCATTTTAGTTTTTCACAGCATTTAGGACTTAAGACATGGTTACTTTATTTGCTTGTTTTTGTTGTTGTTTTGTTTTTTTGTCTGTCTCCCTGAAAAGCATGTAAGATCCAACATTCTTGTATGGTCTCTTCACTTATGGGTCTACAGAGCGTTCTTATCATATAACGAGCACTGCATAACTAAATAGATGCAAAGTGGGATTCTATAGGCTTCAGTGAGGTAGAAGAGTTGACACCTTTTGGAAATAGGGAAGTGAACTTAAAATAGGCTTGCAGATAGGTTCAAGACCTTGAAGGGCCAGTAATGCATCGATTACCTGTGCTTTCCAGAGTGAGACCATTAGAATTAGGCATTGGCTTGGTGAGGCATTTTCCTCAGAACAGAACTCATGGTGATGGCTAAAACATCGTGTATATAGTTATATAGCAAATGGAAATACATACCACATTACCACTGCGACCAATCTCATGATGGCTTCATTAAGTGAATCAAAGAAGTCTCTCAGGGCTTGTCCCTGTTCCTTCATGTTCCCAATCACGAAACCAAAGCACATGGAAAAAACAACCAGCCCCAGGGCATTGACTCCATTCACAGATCCTGGAACAGGAACTAGCTCTTCCCTGATCCGAGTGAGAGTCTCCATGGCCTCTGACACATTGTTTACCACGGCACCCAGGAGTGTTTCATTGGACTGAATAGGCACTTTAAAGCTTCTCTTCTCATAGCTGGTTTTAAACTTAAAAATAAAAAGCACAACAGGAATGAGCTGATTTTAATTTTTCTTTATACATTGCTGCCATCCAAATTTTCTACAATGATAAACATTATTCTGCATTCAGAAGATCCTGTAGAAAGTATGAAGTTATCTATCTATCTACCTATTTATCTACCTATGTGTCTGTTTATGTTTCTATGTATGTATGTATCTATCATCCATCTATCCTAATCTGTGGCAATTCCCTATTCTTCAGGAAGACACACATATTCATATAAATCACTACACACACACACAAACACACTCAAATACATAATATCATAAAATCATCATAGGAAAGAGATGTCTGGTGAAAGATAGTGTTCTAAATATGCATAATCATGTACTTTTGCTTTCTTCCAAAGCCCTAATAAAATCATTATAATGGGGTTTAAAAAAATTCATAAGCCTAGATGTTCAGAAGTTCTTTCCTTTTCTATGGGGATCATGCTATGGGATTATGGAGAAATCACCTAACATCCATTCTTTAAATTCCAGTTGTGCAACTGGGATAACTGGGCTGGGCTAACCTCCAAGGGTTGCAGTGGTGATCAAATTAAACATACTAGGTAAGAATACCATCTAAAAATGTAAGCTATTACATTAACATTGGTTAATGTGCACAATGAAAGGCCCTTCAGGAATTAGACCTGGCTGGAGATTGTAGTGGATTATTAAACATGCAAAAATCTCAAAACCAGGCTTCAAGCCATTTCTGATATCAATTCTTTTTTTTAATTGCATTCTTTTAAAAAATATTTTTAATTGTAAAGATTCTGTACAGAGGGGTTATAGTTACATAAGTAAGGCAATGGACAGATTTCCTATAGACCATTGTTACCCCCTCCTTCATATCATCAATTCTTAATGATATGTGCCTTCCTGATGAATAGCTGATGATGGCAATTCTCCAAATCTGTAGTGTATTTTTCTCTACCTCAAGAGATGGGTTTCCCCCACAACTTCTGCATAAGTTGGCCAGACAAGATTGCTGAGAACATTGCTGTGACCACAGAAAACAATTAAGCCTATTTTGCTATGCATTTAGCAACAGTAAGATTCCATGATAGTGAAGGTGGTAAAGTATCAGTCAGGGTCATAATGTGTAGCTCTTGACTAGTTAAAGGGGAAAAAAGGAGGCCATGCATGAAGTGCTCGGCCATGACTTTGTAAAATGAGACACTTTCTGGTCCATTGGGAAATTACTAGTCCCAAACAAGGACATGGCCAGCTGTCAATGCTGTGGTCACATCCTTGAACAATCAGTGGTATTGCTGACCATTTTAAGCAAAAGAAAATCGTATTCCAGTCAACTTTCTCATCTCTTTGCTTTGCTGGGTGCTTATGTATTTGATAGATTAACTTGGGTAGATTTTTCAATCCTGATTATCCTTTCATCTTAAATATAGCTTGTAGCCTTTTCAAAAGCAGCACCATCATTTGCATTTTGGTCTAAACCAACTAGATCTGGGGAGAAAATTTTGCTAACTCTTGAAAATCTTGTACATGCCAAAGTACAAAAAGTACAATAAATCTGCACCAGTCAGTAATTTTTCCATCTGAAAGCTAAAACAGCATTTTTTTATATCACTCAGTGCCAGCTGGCTAATTGGAATAGTCACCAACCTCATGGTGCTAGGGTTGGCTGGTTGTGTTAAAAGGTGTTTATTAGGGACTGGGAGTGGTAGAGAGCTTGCCTTGCATGCACGAGGCTCTGGGTTCGATTCCTCAGCACCACATAGCAGAAAGAGCTGGAAGTGGTGCTGTGGCTCAAGTGGTAGAGCACTAGCCTTGAGTTGAAGAGCTGAGGGACAGCATCCAGGCCCAGAGTGCAGGCCCCATGACTGACAAAAAAAGGGGGGTGTTATTATTTATTATTATCATTGTTTTATGAATAAAGGAAGTTAAGAGTTTAGCTGCTTAATTTTTTTTATTAAAAAAGGATTCTTGTAATGTACGTGTACATTACCTTTAAAAAATAGTCTTAATAGAATTTTTGTTGCTGTTGTTGTTGGACACGGAGCTTGAACTCCCTGAGCATTTTCCCTCAAGGCCAGCACTCTACCACTTTGAGCCAGTTTTCTAGTGGTTAATTGAAGATGAGTCTCATGGACTTTCCTGCCCTGGCAGGCTTTGAACTGCAATCCCCAGATCTCAGCCTCCTGAATAGCTAGGATAACAGGCCCATTGGTGCCTGACTTAATAGAATTTTTAAGAAGGAAGAAAAAAATCAAAGGAAGTCTTGGATGTGTAAACTCTGCTTCTCCATGAGATTGGCTTTTGTTTCCTTTTACAGATCCCAACAGGAAAGTTCGGAAATTACAACAGGGGTGAATTGACACCATCTGGAGAAGTGTTTGGAAACTATTATTTGATTCAGAATATCTGTTTTATATTTGGGGCAACAGAGCTTTTATAGTCAATTGAGGTTAGAATGAACTTTACTGATTTTTAAATCTCTTTATGGCAGAATGCATTTCTGCCCACTGCGCAGCAAGCTAAGATTTGCTTGACTATGAAGCTGAGGGGAAGTGGATATTACCAGAGCTTCCAGGTAGCTGTCTCATCACCCTGGGTGTTGATTTCTAGGAAGCAGAATGGAATAGTTGGAAGAGAAGAGCATGTATAGTCATCACAATGGATCTGAATTCTGAGTTCTGCATCTGCCATTTACTACCTGTGAGAACTTGTGCTGGTTACATAGGCTCTCCATTCTTAAACATGAGCGGCCTCATCAGTGAAATAGACAGTAATACTCATTGCATTGCTGTGAAGACTAAATATAACATTAGTGCTTGGCACACAGCAGGCATTCCATACATGATGGTGCCATTCCTTTCTGATATGGGTCTCCTTCAGAATCCCGAAGGCCCTTAATAGACTTCTAATAAACATTCCAATGATGTTTTTAAACCAAACCCAGGAACTGGAATAATCTCTCTAATCTTCTTTATAGAAAGCTGTTATGGAGTTTGCCTACTTCATGGGCTTTTGAGTGTCAGCTGTGGGGGGCAGGGAGAGAAGAAGACTGTCCTGATTAGCTATCTTAATAAAAACAGAGATTCAGTGTGGTATTTCTATGCAAGAAACACTGTGTCTAGCAGCTAGGGGGCCTTCAGTGGAAGGTAAGAGCCACCACTTTCCCCAAATTTCCCAGAGGATCCTCATGTTTTCCATGTGGTTGCAAGAGAAGTGATTTTTATTGTAGACAAATGGGGGTGGAAAAAAAGGGCTCTGCTTGGTTTAAATGCCAAAGAGGAATTTTAAAGGGGAATTAGTGGTTGTAGAATGTTTACCTGTTTAAAGCAGGCTTCCACCAGATTTGGAGGGAACATGTTCCTGCAAAGAAAATAGTAGTCACTTGAAAAATTTGGCAGAGAGGAACTTTGTTCCTTACATACTGCTTCATTGTGTCTAAAGCAAGGACTCCCTTGAACCGAGTACCAGATGGAAAAAGTGAAAAGTCATTTTTCTGACTTGAAATGGGACATATGTTTGTTCCTAAAGTGTGACCTATGCAATCTATATTTTGCAAAGAAGTGTTCAATTCAACTGCCATCTTGTCAGCCAAACACATTCTTCATTCAGCCAAGAATCAAAGAAGAATCAAAGGGAGGTCCAAATGCTTTTTGTTAGCACCGTGGCTGACTGAGCTTTTGGTCAGTCACAGTCATCTTTGGTATTGCACCAAGCGTTTAAGGAACAAAAGCTCTCAAAACTCATAGTTGGACGGTGGAACTTTTTTTTTCTGTGAAGATTTGTTAGACATTCTGGAGAATGGACATGAGATTGAATAGTTTTCATTGGAGACATGAACTTCAAATTTTGTGGTAGGGTTTGCCATGTCTTCAAAGACTGTGTCAGGATAATGTTCAGGCAATGATCTGGTCAGGGAATAGGACATTGACCAAGCTCTGGCATCCATTTATGTTAAAGAGGGAGTGGGTAAAATCACCATTAGAGAGCTAAGATTTCCATCTTAGACTTGGAGAAGAGACAGAACCAAGGTAGATATGAGCCAAGAATTCCAGATGTAAACTATCAAAATCAGACCTGAAGGCTATAAACTTATACCTTTCTTTGTATGATCCAGACTGCCCTGCTTCCTTTCCCTTCTATATGTTTGTTTTTTTATGCTAGAAGTGTGCTTTCAGAAGATTCCAGATGAATGCTCAAGTGACAGCATAGGGACAAGATGTTCATATACTCATCATTAGGGTAAAGAGGAAGAGAAACTCACAGGCCTCTGATAGACCAGGCTGGAGATCCCATTTTCAAGATCTCAGTTCTTCAAATAAAGATAGGAATTACAGTGAAAGACATTACAACAAAATACTCTTAATCCAAACTCCCTGAGGTAGAGTTCATGGAAATATGGTAAAAAAAAAAAAAACAGAAAAACAAAAAAACCCACTTTAACTATACAAACTAAACAAAAACATATTAATAGGTTGCTAACCTGGTATGGAATAATGTTATAGGGTGGCGTGTTATCTTCAGATCATTGTGATTGACTTCCTAAAAATGGTTTTGGAAAAGAAAGTTCCATGAGGGCTGGGCATAGTGGCTACCAGGGAGGCAAAGATAGGATTGTGGTTTTAGGCCAGCCTGGGTAAAAAAGTTAGTATCAGCCTCTTTTAGTCAGTGACACCTCCAAGGAGGGCAAAACAAAACAAAAACAGCTCTTGAAACTCTGTCTGAAAAATACTGGAAGCAAAAAAATGGGCTGTATTTGCCTGACAAGTGGAAAGTTCTGAGATCAAATTCCAGAACTGCCAAAAAGAAGAAAAAAAGAAAAACAAGCTCATGCCCCTTGCAGTTGGGTGGTAACTATAGATGGATCACATGAAGTCACCCACGGTAGGAATGAGGGGTGCTGCTGAGGATAGTCTCTGATCCTCTGCTGCCCCTATCTCCAGGGGGTCTAACTGCCACAGTTGAGATAGAGTGCAAAATCAGTCCCTTGGAGGAACTTCCTTCAGATGGTTGACGGAAAGCTTTTAGAATAGGTATCAAGTCCATTTGCAAACAAGTTGTTAATTAAGAAGGGGTGGGGGCTGGGAGGGAGGAAGTTCAATCTTGAGAAGACAAGTGTGATGGGGGACTGCAAAAAATGGATAGGGATCTAGAGACCTGTGCCAATACAGCTTCCATTTGTCCCTTTTCCATTTGTTCACTTTCCATTCTTCTCTGAGCCCTGGGAACTGACCTCCATGGACCGTGGCATATGAATTCCTTCACTTCTATGGGTCTAACAGCAGGTATTGACAGATCCCTGAGAAGTGGATGTATCCGTTGTATCCATGTATCCATTCCTCCAACTCTTTCCTTGACAGGCTAGTGGCAGCACCCTTCCTCCAATGAAAGCTAGGTGTCCTACTCTCAGGCCTTTCTCCCATGACTATGGCTCTTTCTTGGTTCCAGAAACAAAATAGCTTCCTAATACTGTTAATCCTCTGGCACCTCATCCCTTGGGGGTTCCTTCAACCCTGACAGCACCTTTGCAAACCTTCTTCACTGGTTAACTTCTGAGGGTGCAAGCATGCTCCTTTCTAAGACTTGACTGATACTAGGGCAGAAGTGTAGCGAGAGAAAACAGGAAAGTACCAAGATCAAATTTTGGCTCACTTCACAGTTCTGTGAAAGGCCAGTTCCCATCAAGTCTGTTTTCAAGAGTTAGATAAGACTCATTTGTAGTGGGTCTGGTTGTGACATAAAACAACGCTGGAGAAACTATCACTTAGTCTTTTATTACTGTTCTGTCAACTCTCTTTTTTCATAGGAAGTACAAAAAGAAAAAGCCAAGGAAAGGAGTGATCAGCAGATCTTCAAATACCCTGCTGGAAGCGTATTTTTACGTACAGTAAACAATGATACAGACCCAAGTTCTGAATTAACAGTCATGTGATTAGACTAAAAACTAGTCTTCAACATTAAGGCTTGTGAAAAGTTAAGAATGCCTAATATTCCAAGACAAACTGCACAACCGAGAGAACTTAGTGATGAGGTTCTGAATCCTAAAGGCAGGACTCTCAAAGTCTGTCACTTTCGCTTCTCCTCATTATTTCTAAGAGAATGGAAAATTGATCCTGGATTTATTTTCTGTGAGAAGATGCTTCTTTCAGATACTTCTTCCATGACTCATGGTACAAAGGATGAGGCGGTCAGAATATACCCAAGAGCTGGGCCTGCGAGGACGTACCTGATTAAATCCAGGAAGGCATCTGCAGCCGTCACTTGTACAATTTTGCCTTCTCTGTACATGTTTTCCTTTGTGCCCTTCCCAGGATGGATGATGATGACAATGATTATGCCAATCACCACAGCAATGATGGTGGTAGTCATGTAATAGACTACGGCTCGCATTCCCATCTTCCCTGATGCCTTACTATCTAGGGCCGCCATTCCTGGTGAAGGCAAACAGAAGATTTTTGGGAAGTCAGTCCAAGGGATTCTTTAGTGGGAGATAATGGGAACAACGTTTCCTTCTATACTCTCTTTCCCTTTGCCCACCCAGCAATACATACTATGAGAACTCGGCCCCAGATCTACTCAGATCACAAAAGGTGCAGGGGGAGGGGAAGCCATGGGAGATGTAGACACTACTTGTATCAGTGAACATGTGAGAGAACACATTTGCTGCCCTAAAAATTGATTCCGGGTGGCCAAATATTATCAGCTCTCTAATAGTTTGAAAGTGCATTTAACGTCTCTCCTCCATTTTCATTGGTTGGAAATACCTACAACTATGAGGCATAAGGTAGTATGTGTGTCTGTCGGTGTGTATAACAGGACACTAAACATTTCTGACAGGGTTTGATAAAGAGGAATCTCTCCTCTTTTTGCCAATTCAGTACTTTAACTTGAGTCCTATGTCTTCAGAAGGTCTCTTGTAAATATGTTGAATACATGAATTAATCAACTGAATGAACAGATGAATTAATATTTACTTATAAACTGAAAAAAATATTCGGGTAGGATAATCTAAGCTTATTCAAGTTCAAGCACTGTGACGATTCTCACAGGTGAACTGGCATTAAATAATTTTCCCCAAAATGTATCATTTTATATGTTTTGTAGAATCTTTTTTGATGTCTTTTATGCAAAATGTTATTATTCTAATTACTTGCTGATCTATCTTCAGTTTGCATTTCAAGTAAACATTAAGTTCTAAAACCCAAGTTCTCTGTTTTACTTCACCTCTTCTAATTAATCTTAAAACTATTAGGTTGGCGGAGTTCTTATTCGTGTACTCTGTCTTCTTCTACTTTGTCCCATAGGGACACATTTTGTTACATAAATCTAAGGTACCTTCTCATGTTAAAACACTTTCCCCCCTCATTTTCAGAAGTTTAAGTTTCACTTAGTTGAAATTGGAGACAAAACTGAAAGGTTTCTCCAATGGTGTAAACTAATTCAAGAGACATATCTCTTGGGTTGGAAAACAACTGGACCTGACATAAAACTCTCAAAAAACAAAATTATTAAGCTAAGGCCCAGTGGCTTATGCCTGTAATCCTAGCTGCTTAGGAAGTTGAGATCTGAGAATTCCAGCTGAAGCCAGTCTGGGCTGAAAAGTCTGTGAGACTCTTATCTCCAATCAACCACCAAAAAGCTGGATGTAAAGCTCTGGCTCAATTAATAGAGCACTAGCCTTGAGTGAAAAAGCTCAGGAATAGCACCCAGTCCCTGAGTTCAAGCCCCAGGACCAGTGCCAAAAAGCTCCCCCAAAACAAAAAACAAAAGCCAAACAAAAATCCACCTAAAAAACTACAATATGGGCTTTTCAGTTTCATTAGTTGTTCATCTCTTTTCTTCTTTCTTTATCCTCCTCAATCCCATTATAACACTAAAATCCAATTCTAGTATAATCCAATTATAGTTAGAGTGTTTTCCTTACTATTTAAAATTGTGATTCCATGAATGTATTACAGGTTATATTACATTGCAAGGTAGATAACAAATTTTAATGGTGGTTTCATATTAGATAGTGACCATGTTCACACAAATATATTTAGAAAAAGGTAAGTATTAAAAAATAGTGTCTATTGGAAAAAAATTATATTATGTGAAGTAAGCCAGGCCCCAAGAAATGTAGGTCCTATGGTTTCCTTTATTTGCAATAACTAGTATATGTTTAGGACAAGCAGAAAAGGTCAAAAGCTATGTATATATGACCATATAAGATGATGTTAAATGAAATGAACCCCAAGATAGGGACACAGTGTTTTTTTTCTTTCTTTCTAATGTTTTTAACATATTTATAAATATGCTATGTGATTTTTTTTTGTTTCTTTGGTATGTTCCTCCCCCACGGTATAATTCCTGTTTTCACTGTATTTGATGTTGGTACCCTGCATCTTGTATATATACATTTTTCTAATTTGGAGAGGGGAAGGACACACAATGCTTAAATAAGGATACAGGTTGACCCATTGTAACAATGAGATGTACAAGATACTATGTTGAAAACGAACTTTACAACTTCGGGGCCTGGGGAGGGGGGGAGGGAGGAGCTAGGGAAGTGGGGAGGAAAGGATGGTAGGGGAAAAAACAGAGGAGGAGGTAACAAAGCTCAGTAAAAAATGTACTCATTATCTTACTCATGCAACTGTAACCCCTCTGTACAATAAAAAATGTACAAAAAACAGTGTCTATGTCAGATAACACAGTTTAAGATTTGTCCAAATTTGGATTTGCTATGATTTAGGATTTACCCAAAACTATTGTTACAAAGGTAATTGGAGGTGAGAATTGAAGCACTGACTTTCCATTTACAGTGTCACTTATATCTGAATTATATAGTTTATAATGCTCATAGTATGCCCTTATTTAAATTTTCACATAGGATTATATTTTAACAAGAGCCCATTTGGCAGATTAAAAACTAACTCAAGTCTAACACTTTAGTTAACTTCAAGTAGAACGGAACAAGAACTCAAACTCAGGTATTACGTCATTCAACATGAGCTTCCTGCCCAAATGGACTTTAGTGTATGAACTTTAAACCACATTTATCTCTGTCTAGCTTCTTGATACCCATTGCTAAAAATCAATTTATTGAGATGGCACCGTTTAAATACGCCAGTTATGTTATAAATGATCTCAGCCAAAGTATCTCATCTCTCTATTTTCTTCTCAGGTATGAGTCACATGTCAAAATATCTTGGCTTTGCTGTGCTTGCAAAACTTTCTGTAGGAAGGGGCTCACTCTTTCCCATGACTGTCTGAAGTTGGCACCGTAGCCAGCAATCCCTCTGGTTCCTTTCCTGTCCACTAATGTAAGTACAAAAGGCCAGATATTTGACCCTCTTGCCCACAATGGCCAACCTGTGCTATTCAGGGAGAACGCTGGTGGTCAAGACAGCACTAAGACCCCAGCCTGACAGTGGAATGGCAAAAACTATCTCAATACCCACAGCTATAAGGCTAACAACTCTTGGAGATAAATTTTATAGGCTTAAAAATATTTCAGAAAATGAAAACCAACATGCAAGTATTTTCTCCAAACTTTCTAATTTCGAGATAGCTGAAGAAAACCATCAAAAGACATTTTCTTAGCACACAAGAGAACCAACAGCCCAAATGAGGCCTCCTTCACCTCTGTGTATGGGGTCTTTTAAAAAGAAAATAAACTGACATTGTTTCCACGCAGGAAAGGGACAGATAGGAACTCTTTAGAGGCCGTTTCTCTCCTTTTCCTACAGGAGTCCTATAGGATCACTTGCTCATCTCAGTTCTTTGGATATTCCAACTTGTAAAACTAAAGAAACCACCAGCAACAAGGCCATGCCCTGTTACCGGGGCAACAGCAGGACAGATGTACACATCTGCTACACACACAATGACCTTGATACTGGTGGGCCAGGAAAACAGGAAGAGCTCTGGAAGATAAAAGTCCAAGTGAGCAGAGCATCGTCCTTCTCTCCCACACCGGAACCCTGTGACCATCCTCTTGCCCCAGCCTCATGAAATATGAGAGACTCAGCTTTATACTAGAGAGTAAACACACATGTCAGAATGTCTGGGCAAGGCCTAAGTGCTAAATCACTTTGTATGAAGGGAAGCTTCGGCAGAGATCCCTAAATGTATGGAAAGGGAAAGTTGTCATTCATTTTACAATATAGGAGAGAAAGGACACTGGGGTGGTGGCGAGACAGGAAATCACATGGGCATGGAGGTACTTGTCAGGGTGATTACAGGATCCACACATTCATCGAAGTATATGTTTGAGGCACACATTTAGATGTAGTAAGGGTAAAAAATGATCTTACTGTCTTTGTTTTCATTGTATCTGGGCTTATCTAAACCAGGTTTATTTTTTTACTGGGAAAATCAAGACTCTCTTACTTACTCTTTACTGGGAAAACCAAGACTCTTGAAACACACAAAAAAGTCTTATATTGTACTCTCACTTGAGTACCATGATAACTCATCTGGGTACAAAGGGTTTGTGTGTTCTGTAGATTTTGAGTACACTTTCATGTTGATCCCTTGACTCATTTATCAGGTCCTGTTTCTGACTGATGCTATGTTTATTTGATTCAATGTCAATTATAGAAATGTAGATATTGCTGATGACTATGTACAAAGGAAGAAACAAGAGACCAGAAAAGTTAAGTAACTTGCCTAATGTTGCGCAGCTAATTTGTGGCAATGGCAGAGTCCAAACTTACACATCCCAAAGAGTATCCTTGTGGCGAGACCCCTCTTTTTTTATGGGCAAGCTGGGAATTACACTTGCTTGTCATCTATGCTGATTTTTCTAGCCTTCTTACACTGATCTCAATGTTGACCTGAGTTCCCTGGCTATAGGAAATTCTATGGAGAGAGGTAATTGTGGAAGGTCTCTGTCTAATTTTTCCACATTCCTTAGATCTCCTGGAAGATTACATTGATTAATGCTACCTATCAGAAGGGATAGAGAGATATGATAGAGCACCATAAATTCTTCTTCATTTCTAGAAAAACAGGCCAGAGAATGCACATTCTAGTAGAGGTTGGAAGGCCATGAAATCTTGCTGCCTGTGAACATTGAGGCTTATTAGCCTTTCTGAAAAAAAAAATCTACCTATCAAGCCAGGTCTATCAAGCCAGGCGTCGGTGGCTCACGCCTGTAAACCTAGCTATTCAGAAGGCTGAGACCCAAGAATCATGGTTCAAAGCCAGCCTGGGCAGAAAAGTCCTGTGGAAATCTTATCTCCAATAAACTGCTCAAAAATGGGAAGTGGTGCTGTGGCTCAAGTGGTAGATTGCTAGCCTTGAGCATAGAGGTTCAGGGACAGCGCCCAGGCCCTGAGTTCAAGCCCTGCAATTAACAAGAACCAAAAAAAGCCCACTACCTATCAATAACCAATCATCAAGCAGGCAAACTGGAAATCTATCAGATGTTCACCATTGAATTAAG